GGGGGGGGGGGGGGGGGGGGGGGGGGATTGGGGGGGTGGAGGGAGGGAGGGGCACACAAAAAAAAATTGTACTTCAATGTCTTAATGATTGACAAATGATGAAATATTTGTGTGTGTGTGTTTTTTTTAAAGAAATAAAATAAATATTTGTAGTAATTCTGATTCCTTCAGTAAATCAGAGGGACTGAAATGATGCCACAGAACAGTCTGACCATATTGAACCACCTAGATTCAGCAACTCTCTTCCCGTCAAGAGCCGGGGTGGCACAGTGGTTAGATTGCAGTACTGCAAGCTGACTGCCTGTTGCCAGCAGTTTGGCAGTTCAAATCTCACCGGCTCAGTGTTGAACTCAGCCGTCCATCCTTCCGAGGTGGGTAAAATGAGGAGCCAGATTGTTTCGGGGGCAAGATGCTGACTCTGTAAACTGCTTAGAGAGGGCTGTAAAAGCACTACGAAGCGGTATATAAGTCTGAGTGCTACTGCTATCTTCCTTCCTTCCCTCCTTCCGCTTAGAATGCAGTATTGCGGGCTGACTCTGCTCACTGCCAGCAGTTCGATCCTGTCTGGCTCAAGGTTGACTCAGTCTTCTATCCTTCCGAGGTGGGTAAAATGAGGACCCAGATTATTGGGGGCAATATGCTGACTGTAAACTGCTTAGAGAGGTCTGTAAAGCATTGTGAAGTGGCATATGTCTAAGTGCTACTCCCTCCCTCCCTCCCGCTTAGAATGTACTATTGCAGGCTGACTTTGCTCACTGCCAGCAGTTCGATCCTGATGGGTTCAAGGTTGACTCAGCTTTCCATCCTTCCGAGGTGGGTAAAATGAGGATCCAGATGGTTTAGGGGCAAGATGCTGACTCTGTAAACCGCTTAGAGAAGGCTGTCAAGCAGTGTAAAGCAGTATATAAGTCTAAGTCCTATGGCTATTGCTATCATGGGTTTTCCCGCCAATTATTTTTTTTCAAGCAGCCCAACAACCTGAATCCAATTTCTTGTATATTGCTTAAAGAGAACTGGGTATGCTTGTAACAACTACTAGCGAAATATGGAGGGTCAGCTTAGCACACAGGCAAATGTGTTCAACTGTAGAACATAGTTTTATTTGAGAGACAAGAATGGAAACAACGAGGGAGTGGGAACAAGAAACTCCCTTCTCCTTTCTGATTTGGGTCAGACTAGGGAAGGGTCTGTGAGCTGCCTTCAGTGTCATTTCCAGCCTGGGTTGAATTTCATTCAAAGGATTTCTAAACCTGTAAAAATAAAAAGGACAATGTTTTTTTTAAAAAAGCAGTAATACTTCAGTCTTCTTCCCTGCAGAAATTAAAGAGGACATTTCAACCTGAAAGCAAAAAAGATGGGAGTAAGACAATGTCAGAGTGCGCACAGTGTGACTATGTGAGACAACTCAGGAGCAATAACATCAAACAGAGATTTGTCTTTTGAACAGTGGTTTATCTACAAGGAATATACACATAGACGTACTAGGCAAAGTGAATCAATCAATCATCAACTGCAGCAGGGAAGCGTGGGGAGAGAGGGAGAGGGAGGGAAAGAGGGAAGGAGGGAGGGAGAGAGAGAAAGAGAGAGAGAGATACTCTCATTGGGCCTCTTTTATAATACAGCCTCTTAAAGTGGTAACAGTCAGATATGCCAGCTGACTCATTCCTCATCATTTCAGTACAGTTCAGTATAGCAGCTTGTCAGCTATTAAATCTGACAGACAAGCAATGAAAATTAAATCTGCAATGAGGTAGAATGATATTGAGTGTGTATGTATACTAATAATATAATTAATATAAAGCAATGTAACACATGTAACACAACACATTATAGAGAAAGGTTTCATTTTCATTCCAGAATGTTTCCTTCCAAAAAGTGTTCAAAACACACCAGGCCTATACAGTAGTTTTCCATTTTATTAACACTATTGGATGTCCATAGCTTTTCAAGAGCTTATTAAGGAACAGTGTCACTTTGTAATCATTTATAATTAATGTCCCAAAGGTGCTTCCCCCCCCCCCCCAAAGAGGCAACTGGATTTTCTGGTTTTCCTTTGAAAAGCAAAACCACGTTTTGCTTCTCATCCAAGAAGCTTCTTCAGCTCTGAGTTGCCTCTTGAAAAAGCACTTGAA